GATGTTGACGTCGCCATCTACGCTTTATGGCTGTGACATTGTTACTAATATGCGGGTTGCTGCAAGTCTAATTTGTATCTTATAAACAGTACGAGAAATAGGAGTGGATTCGATGTGGTTGGTGTGAAAGTTGTTGTGAGAGGGAGAGAGATGGAGATAGAGAGATATGACTTGTGTGATGACAGGATGCAGAGTTGCAGATGTTTTTGTGCGAGTTCCAGTTAACAACATGGTTTTTGAGATTTTGTGCATCATATATTCATCACCCATACTCCGCCACTGTCTATGATTCGAATTCATTATGTTACGAAAACGTATTGTTGTTTATATTTGGTCTGGAGTGCACTTGTACTTAGGAAACGGAGAAAAAAATGAACGCATTGATAAAGAGCAAGGTTATAGCTAGCTAGTTTTCCTATCTACTTCAACATTATTTCAACATGAGTGTAGGAATATATTAGGGTTAAACATTTAAATCGTTTTAATATAGAATTGTTTATGATGACATCATCAAATTTTTGGTGGGGGTGATTAGCCAAATTCTGGTTAGTGTTGTATCATCTACGTGATATTCCTAATATACAGACACAATTTGACAACAATCGGTTTAGTAGTTTCGGAAATTATCTGTTTAATAAAAACTGACAGATGACGTGAAAAGGGAAACCGCTTTTTCGTGCTCTAGATGTCATGAAATTTCGAGAAAACTTGAAAGTAGCAAGTCGCCCAATGGACTCGATTACAATACTTCTTTCGCGTACACTCGGGAAGCAAACATGTTTTTTCGATTTCTTAATTTTTCGAATTTTTGATTTTTAGATTTTTTTATTTTTCAACTTTCATTTCTCAATTATTCGGCATTTCAGTTTTGGGATTTTTCGGATTTTTATTCTTCCATTTTTCGATTTTTAAATTTTTAAATTCTTTGGTATTTTGGGATTTTTCAATTATTCTTTAATTTCTCGATTTTCCAAGTTTTTGATTTCTGGATTTTTTTTTCGATTTCTCAATTTTCCGATGTTTCAATTTCGATTTTTCGATTTCTCGATTAATCGATGAATCGATTTTTCGACTTTTCGATATATCGAATTTTCAATTTTCCCATTTCTCGACTTATCGATTTCTCGATTTTTCAATTTTTCAGTTCTTCAAATTTTCGATTTTCCGATTTCTCAGGTTTTTGATTTTTAAATTTTTTAAGTTTTCGATTTTTAGACTTTTCGAATTCTCGTTTCCCAATTTTTCAATGTTTGAGTGTTGGGACTTTGCCCCTTTTCCACCTTCTTCCTTTGTTCCTTTTCCCCACTTTCCCATTTCCCTTTTTCCTATTTCCCCATTTCCCCATTTTGGCCTTTTCCCATTCCCTCTTCCACCTTACCCCATTTTCCTTATTTCTCATCTGTCCCATTTTTCTTTTTTCCCCTTTTTCTCTTTTGCCCTTTCGCCCTTTCCCTTTTTGTCCCTCTTCTATTTTTCCCCTTATTCCTTTTCTCTTTTTCCACTTTCCGCTTTATCCCTTCCTAGCTTTTCCCCCTCCCAACTTTCCTCCTTTTCCTCTTTCCCTTTTCCTCATTTTCACTTTCCGTTTGTCCCTCTTTCTCTGTTCTCCCCTTTTCCCCATTTCCCACTTTTACTTTTTCGCTTTTTATATTTTCCCATTTCCCCTTTATGTTTCTCACTCTTTCCTCCTTTTCCCCTTTTACCTTTTTTACATTTTCCCCTTTTCCCCTTTTCCCTTTTCCCCCATTTCCACATTTGCTTCCTTTTCAATTTGTTGAAGTTTGATTTCTTGATTTTTCATTTTTGGAATTTTTTAGTTTTTTAATCCTTCCATTTTTCAATTTTTCGATTACTCACTTTTGGATCTTACAGTTTTAGAATTTTCCAGTTCGTCAATTTCTGGATTTTTAAAATTTTCGATTTTTTTATTTCCCAAATTTGCGATATTTTAATTTTTCCATTTTTCAATGTTTAAATTTTTCGATTTTTCAGTTTTTCAATTTTTGGTATTCCTAAGTTTTCAACTTTTCGATTTCTCGATTTCTGAATTTTTCAATATTTCTGTGTTGAAATTTTTCCATTTTAGGATTTAAAAAACTTCGCAATTTTTCGATTTTTCAATTTCTCGATTTTTTATTTTTCGATTTCTCAATTTTCCGATGTTTCAATTTTTCGATTCTTCAATTTTTCAATTTTTGGCATCCGTGAGTTTTCAATTTTTCGATTTCTCGATTTCTGGATTAATCGATTTGTCGACTTTTTGATCTATCCAATTTTCAATTTTCCCATTCTCGTTTTCCCGACTCCTCGATTTCTCGATTTTTCAGTTTTTCAATTCTTCAATTTTTCGATTTTCCGCATTTTCAGTTTTTGGATTTCTCAGGTTTTTGATTTTTCAATTTTTCAATGTTTGAGTGTTGGGTTTTTCAACTTTTTGATTTATTAATTTCTCAACTTTTCATTTTTTGATGTATCATTTCTCGATTTTTTTTTTGGAATTTTGAAGTTTTTTGATTCTTCAACTTTTCGGTTTTTCATTTTTGGGATTTTTCAATTCTTCAATTTTTCGATTTTCAAAATTTTGGATTTCTCGATTTTTTTTTCGATTTCTCAAATTTTCAAAGCTCCACTTTTTTTCATTTTGTTCAATTTTTCGATGTTTAAATTCCGATTTTTTCACTTCTCGATTTCTCAATTTAACAATATTTCTGTGTTGGAATTTTTCAATTTTAGGATTTACCAATTTCTCAATTTTTCAATTTTTTGATGTTTCGTTTTGGATGTTGAAATTTTTTCATTTTTCAATTTTTCAATTTTTGCCGTTCCGAATTTTTCGACTGTTCGGTTTATTGATTTTTCGATTTTCTCTATTCTCGAATTCTACACGTCTCGATTTTTCGATTTTCCAAATTTTCAATTTTTCGATTTCAGGTTTTTGATTTTCAACTTTTAAATTTTTAAAATTTTTGATTTTTCGACTTTTCGATTTCTCGATTTCTCAATATTTCAGTATTAGAGTTTTTCAACATTACGACTTTCCAAATTTCCAATTTTTTGATGTCCATTTTTCATTATTTTAATTATTCAATTTTTCGATGTTTCAATTATTCGATTTTTTGAATTTTAGATTTTTATGTTTCTCGATTTTCCGAATTTTCTTTCAATTTTGAGATTCTCAGGTTTTTTGTATTTAAATTTTTTAATTTCTTAAATTTTCAATTTTTTGAAAAACATTCTCGATTTCTTAACTTTTCAATTTTTCGATTTAGTAATTTCCCAATTTTTCGACTTTTTGATATATGGATTTCTCGATTTTTCATTTTTGGATTTTTCTGTTTTTTGATTCTTGAATTTTCCCAATTTTCATTGTCTCGATTTTTCAATTTTTCTATTTCTCGATTTTTAATTTGTCGATTACTGAATTTTTAGATATTTCAGTTTTGGGATTTTTCAGTTCTTCAATTTTTCGATTTTTTAAATTATTGATTTTTCCACTTTTCGATTTCTCAATTTTTCAATATTTCAGTATTGGAATTTTTCAATTTTACGATTTACCAATTTTTCAATTTTTGGATGTTTTGATTTTTCGATGTTTCAATATTTTTATTCTTCAATTTTTCGATATTTTAATTATTCGATTTTTCGATGTTTCAATTATTCAATTTTTTGAATTTTAGATTTTTATATTTCAGGATTTTCCGAATTTTCTTTCAATTTTGAGATTTCTCAGGTTTTTGGTATTTAAATTTTTGAATTTCTTAAATTTTCAATTTTTGGAAAAAAATTCTCGATTTCTTAATTTTTCAATTTTTTGATTTAATAGTTTCTCAATTTTTCGATTTTTTTATGTATGGATTTCTCGATTTTTCATTTTTGGAATTTTTCTGTTTTTTGATTCTTGAATTTTCCTAATTTTCATTGTCTCTATTTTTCAATTTTTCTGTTTCTCGATTTTTAATTTTTCGATTACTGAATTTTTAGAGATTTCAGTTTTGGGATTTTTCAGTTCTTCAATTTTTCGATTTTTTAAATTATTGATTTTTCCACTTTTCGATTTCTCAATTTTTCAATATTTCAGTATTGGAATTTTTCAATTTTACGATTTACCAATTTTTTGGTTTCGATTTTTCGGTGTTTCAACATTTTGATTCTTCAATTTTTCGATGTTTTAATCATTCGATTTTCAGATTTTTCTTCCAGTTTTGAGATTTTTCAGTTTTTTGATTCTTGAATTTTTCGATTTCTTCAATTTCTCAATTACTTTTGGGGTCATGAAACGTCGAGAAAACATAAAGTGGCAATTCGTCCGACGGACTCGACTATTATATTGTCTTCCCAGTTTAAAGTGGTTTTTATGATAAGTCTATTGTCTTGAAGTTAATGTTGGGGACAATGGAGTAACTCCCTAGCCATAAACAAGAAAGTGGTCGGTTTCTTGCAGGGCCGTACTTTGTTATTCAACTCATATTGTCCGTTGTGGGGTAATAAAGAGGTCATAATGTTTATAATCTTCTCATAAAAACCACTTTAAACTGGGACTACAATACTTCCTTAGCATACGCTAAATAAAATCTCAATGAATTTAGCTCGTAATGTAATTTGTTCTTAAAAATGTACATTATTATAAAAAAAAAAAAATCGCATGGTATTAAAGAATCAAAATTAATTTAAGACTTCCTGACGTCCACGGAGGATTGGTCATGCCTCAGAGAACGAGGGAAATCGTTTTTTCTACTAGTTATTAGAGCAAATAGTGCGCGAAATAGCCTAAAGCTAATGATAAATATTTTAAATTAAAAAAAAAAACGGTGATTTCCGTTTAAAAAAATTCGTATCTAAACTTAATTTGTGCCGCATTCTCTCGTTTTATTTATACTGAGTCACTAAAAACCTAGAACATTATCATATCATATAAATTAATTTCCTCAAAAATTAGTCACTTGCTCCCATCTAGCGTCGAAACTCGGAACCCGCCATCACTAACTTCTCCTCTTTTCCAGAACTTCCGCGACCAGAGGATAGATGGCTCCGGGCTGCCGCTCCTCACCGAAGAGCACCTCACCACGACCATGAACATGAAGCTCGGTCCGGCCCTGAAGCTGCGCTCCCTCCTGGCGAAAAAGCTCGGCTCCTGCAGCGTCTGCCTCCACTGTACCCACTGCCACAACAACACCGGGTCCCCGGAGCCGTCGAACACGGCCGGAAACACGTCGGACTCCGGGGGCGCCTCATGATCGGCCCTCTCCGGAATTTATTTCTTCGTTAAGTTGTACTTAAATGTTCCGGGAAAAAGTACAAATCGAGAGTGTAGGATGTAAGATAGAGCGCGCCAAGACGGAATCCTGATCAAGAATCGAACGTCAATTATCTCAAGTGCCTGTTGACATTTATCTGCTCAGTGTATTTACGTAGTTGTATAGTTCCTAATTTTTACAACATTCAACGAATTTGTGTGTTTCTCTTTGCTCAATGATGTGTTGTTTGTCGGTTTGTGCAAAATTTGTAAATTTATTTAGATAGGTTTTAGTTGTAATTTATGCGTAGAGGTAGGATAAGATGTATTTTGTACAGTATTTTGTTAAATATCGTGTTTATGTACCTTGTATGATTACGACTATTAAATCATTTTATATAAAAATAATAAGCAATTCGAGCGGTGTTTTTGTTTAAGAAACCCAATGTTGATGGTCTCTAAAGTCTCTGCCTCCTACTTCCCTCTAGTGACAAAGCTAAGAACTCGTCTACAGAAACCTGTTTTCTGGTTCTAGAATTCTGCTTCCACATTTACCGTCCTCTTTATATTTTTACAATTTTTTGGTTGGTAATTCCATTCATTGACCAGCTAATTTTCGAAATTATCACAATTTAATATAAATGTACTTTTGAATTTTAGGTGTAAACAACAATAAATTGAAATTTTCTATTTATGTCGTATTTATATACGTATCACTTTTTTTGTGGGTGTAATTTTCTGACAGATGCTGACAGCTTGCGTTTCCTCTAACATTTGTTAAATATCGTGTTTACGTAGTTTCCACGCTTGCGACCTTTATAAATCACTTTACGTAAATAATGAAACGTGTTGTTTTTTCGAAGCCGCAGTTTTTTCACGAGGGAATAAAACTGCTTTTAATTTTCTAATTATGTTCATGGAATTGCTCAAGAAATTAATTTCCGCCGACAAATTGATTGAGACGTGACTTTCATGCCGAAACGTCCTTCACTCGAGTATTAGAGAAATATGAAACAGAGTAATCGTTTTTTGTTTAATTTACTAATTAAGGAATCGTGTCGGGAAACAAAAGCGATTAAATCGTAATTGCTTATCAAATTCAATGCAAACGCAGGAATTAAAAAAAGTAAATAAAATGTTCTGTGACCGGAAAATAAAACAACCCATCCTTGGAAAGAATTTGGCACGTCGGTGATTAAACTACAGTGATACATTTTAATAAGATTTTTAATAAAATAAGTTAGTGTGAAGTTCCAACGAAAATTGGTATAAAATTAATTGGCTTGTTAATGTTCAGAATGATTAGTTTAATCAACCAAAAAAATGTACAGAAAGATATCGTAAAAAACATCAATGTCTGTTTTTTCCTCTTTTTTGTGATAATCAAAATATACCATTAATTAATTCAAAATTTGTCTAATCATCCCCACCAATGAGATCATGACGTCACTTCAAAATTATACGTTGTAAATTGGTTTTAATTGTACAAAATAAGATAGCCCTACACGTGTAGTTTATGACTCCGTGTTGAGTTTTTATCCGACATGTCCAGATTTTTGGAAAAAAATCAAAATTATAAAACAACATTTTTGCAATTTAATTTTGAATCTGCAAAACCGAATGCTTTGAATTCTTGCAAATGGTTTGAAGTTATGATAAGCATAATACATTATTAACAATATATAATAATAATAATAATAATAATAAATAAATTTATTGCCCAACAAATGGTTTGAAGTTATGATAACCAAAATAAATTATTAATCAAAATATATTTAATTATCCCCTCCAAAAAACTGATGACGTCAACGCATTTCTTTATGGAGATTTAGATGTTTCGATTTTTTCATTAATCAATTTTTCAATTTTCAATGTTTCGAATTTCAATTTATGGATTTTTCAATTCTTCGTTTTCGTCCATGTTCGTCCTTTTTCGTCCTTTTCGTCCTTTTTGGTCCATTTTGTCCTTCTTGATCCTTTCCTTCTTTTTCGTCCTTATCGTCCTTTTTCGTTTTTTTTTGTTCTTTTTTGTCCTTTTTTGTCCTTTTCGTCCTTTTTCATCCATTTTTATCCTTTTTCGTCCTTTTCGTCCTTTATCGTCCTTGTTGGTTCATTTCGTCCTGTTCGTCATTTTTCGTCCATCTTGGTCCATTTCGTCCTTTTCGTCCTATTTCGTCCTTCTTCGTGCTTTACGTCCCTTTTCGTCCTTTTTTTGTCAATTTCGTCCTTCTCGAACCTTTTCTTCCTTTTCGTCCTTATCGTCCTGTTTCGTCCTTTTTTGTCCTTTTCGTCCTTTTTCGTCCATTTTCATCCTTTTTCGTCCATTTCGTCCGTTATCGTCCCGGTTGGTCCATTTCGTCCTGTTCGTCATTTTTCGTCCTTCTTGGTCCTTTTCTGTCCTTTTTCGTCTCTTTTGGTCCATTTCGTCCTGTTTCGTCATTTTTCGTCCTTCTTTGTCCTTTTCGTCCCTTTTCGTCCTGTTTTTGTCAATTTCGTCCTTCTTGATCCTTTTCTTCCTTTTCATCCTTTATCGTCCTTTTTGGTCCATTTCGTCTTTTTCGATCCTTTTCGTGCTTTTCATCATTTTTCGTCCTTCTTGGTCCATTTCGTCCTTTTCGGCTTTTTTCGTCCTTCTTCGTCCTTTTGGTCCTTTTTCGTCCTTTTTTTCCATTTCGTCGATTTTGTCCTTTTTCGACCTTTTTCGTACTTTTCCTCCTTTTCGTCCTTTTTCGTCCTTCGTCGTCCTTTTTCGTCCTTCTTGGTCCATTTCCTCCTTTTCGTCCTTTTTTTGTCCTTTTCATCCTGTTCATCCTTTTCGCCCTGTTTCGTCCTTTTTGACCTTTTTGGTCTTTTCGTCCTTTTCGATCCTTTTCGTGCTTTGCATAATTTTTTGTTCTTCTTGGTCTATTTCGTCCTTTTTGGCTTTTTTCGTCCTTTCTGTCATTTTCGTCCTTTTTCGTCCATTTCGTCGATTTTGTCCTTTTTCGTCCTTTTTCGTCCTTCTTCGTACTTTTTGTCCTTTTCGTCCTTTTTCATCCTTTCTCGTCCTTCTTGGTCCTTTTTCGTCCTTTTTCGTCCTTCTTGGTCCATTTCGTCCTTTTTTTGTCCATTTCGTCGATTTCGTCCTTTTTCGTACTTTTCGTCTTTTTCGTCCGTTTTCATCCTTTCTCGTCCTTTTTGGTCTATTTCGTCCTTTTTCGTCCTCTTGCGTCCTTTTTCGTCCTCTTTCGTCTTTTCTCGTCCTTTTTGGTCCATTTCGTCCTTTTCGTCCTTTTCCATCCTTTTTCTTCCTTCTTGGTCCATTTCGTCCTTTTCGTACTTTTTCGTCCTTCTTGGTCCATTTTGTCCTTTTTCGTCCTTTTCGTCCTTTTTGGCCCTTTTTCCTTCTCTTCGTACTTTTTCGACCTTCTTCGTCCTTTTCGTCCTTTCTCGTCTTTTTTGATCCTTTTCGTTCTTTTCGTTCTGTTTGGTCCTTTTTCGTTCTTTTCGTCCTTGTTCGTCCATTTTCGTCCATTTTCGTCCTTTTCGTCCTTTCTCGTCCTTTTTGGTCCGTTTCATCCTTTTCGTCCTATTTCGTCATTTTTCGTCCTTTCTCGTCCTTTTTGATCGTTTTCTTCCTTTTCGTCATGTTTCGCCCTTTTTGGTTCCTTTACGTCCTTTTCGTCCTTTTTCGTCCTTCTTGGTCCATGTCGTCCTTTTCGTCCTTTTTCGTCAGTTTTTGTCCTTTTCGTCCTTTCTCGTCCTTTTCGTCCTTTTTGGTCCTTTTTCCTTCTTTTCGTATTTTTTCGTCCTTCTTCGTCCTTTTCGTCCCTTTTCGTCCTTTTTCGTCCTTTTCGTTCTTTCTCGTCCTTTTGGATCCTTTTCGTCCTTTCTCGTCCTTTTGGATCCTTTTCGTTCTTTTCGTTCTTTTTGGTCCTTTTTCGTTCTTTTCGTCCTTTTTCGTCCATTTTCGTCCTTTTCGTCCTTTCTCGTTTTTTTTCGTCCATTTTCGTCTTTATCGTCCTTTTTCGTCCTTTATTGTCCTTTTCGTGCGTTTCGTCCTTTTTGGTCCATTTCGTCCTTTTTCGTCCTTTTTGGTCCGTGTCGTCCTTTTTGATCCTTTTCTTCCTTTTCGTCCTTTGCGTAATTTTTCGTGCTTTTTGGTCCTATTTCGTCCATTTTCGTCCTTTTCGTCCTTTTTCGTCCTTCTTGGTCCATGTCGTCCTTTTCGTCCTTTTTCGTCAGTTTTTGTCCTTTTCGTCCTTTCTCGTCCTTTTCGTCCTTTTTGGTCCTTTTTCCTTCTTTTCGTATTTTTTCGTCCTTCTTCGTCCTTTTCGTCCCTTTTCGTCCTTTTCGTTCTTTCTCGTCCTTTTGGATCCTTTTCGTCCTTTCTCGTCCTTTTGGATCCTTTTCGTTCTTTTCGTTCTTTTTGGTCCTTTTTCGTTCTTTTCGTCCTTTTTCGTCCATTTTCGTCCTTTTCGTCCTTTCTCGTTTTTTTTCGTCCATTTTCGTCTTTATCGTCCTTTTTCGTCCTTTATTGTCCTTTTCGTGCGTTTCGTCCTTTTTGGTCCATTTCGTCCTTTTTCGTCCTTTTTGGTCCGTGTCGTCCTTTTTGATCCTTTTCTTCCTTTTCGTCCTTTGCGTAATTTTTCGTGCTTTTTGGTCCTATTTCGTCCATTTTCGTCCTTTTCGTCTTTTATCGTCCTTTTTGGTCCATTTTGGTCCTTTTCGATCCTTTTCGTCCTTGTCGTCATTTTTCATCCTTCTTGGTCCATTTCGTCCTTTTCGGCCTTTTTCATCCTTTATCGTCCTTTTTCGTCCTTTTCGTCGTTTTCGTCGTTTTTGATCCATTTCGTCCTTTTTCGTCCTTTCTCGTCCTTTTTGGTCCATTTCGTCCTTTTTGACCCTTTTCTTCCTTTTCGTTCTTTGCGTCATTTTTCGTCCTTTTCGTCCTTTTGTGTTCTTTTTTGTCCCTTTCGTCCTTATTTGTCCCTTTCGTCCTTTTTCGTCCTTCTTCGTCATTTTCGTCCTTTTTCCTCCTTTTCGTCTTTTTTCGTTCTTCTTCGTCCTTTTCGACCTTTTTCGTTCATTTTATTTTATTTTTTATTTTATTTTATTTTATTTTTTCCAACGGGGTTACACCCAATTACAGGAAAAACTAAAAATTAAAATTAAAAATTAACAATAACAAGAAAGTAAAACTAAAAAGAAAAGAAAATTCTACCCATATAATGATTGCTTAACACAACTAACAATTTTGTTAATAGAGTCGAAATTTATATCGCATAAGTGTGAAATTTGATTAAAATAACTACACATAATACTAACTGGAGATCTTCTTAAAACGTTAGTTCTGTCAGCAGTACAATAAAATACATGATTATGGCGTGCACTAATTCTTGGTACAAGAAAATTTA